CCTGGGACCATCCAAAACGGCGGCTTTGATTTCGTGGCGCGGACCCGGCTCAAAAAAGGCTAGGCATGCCGCGTGGCATGAATATGGAGGATACATTGTTGGCGTCTCGGATTTTCTGGGACGGATTCAGGCGCCCATTGTACACAACTATATCCATCTGGGCTCGGTGTTCGATGCGGGAGGTGTCATGACTCCAGAAATCCGTTATCGGTCGTCGTCATCGGTCGCCTCTCTGCAAGTGCTACGACGACGGGTGTTTGCCACCGATGACTGGGATGTGAGAGAGCGCCTTATTCTTGCAGACAGCCTCGTCATGGCCAGTCGACTGTACAATGCAGGGGCTTGGCCCGCCTTCACTCGTGCCGAAGCCCATCCCGTACGCGTTGAGGTCATGAAGGTGTATCGAGCAGCCGCCCGTGTCAGCTATCGCGAGGACATTTCGCAGGTCTCTGATCAGTTGGTACTGGCACGTTTGCGTCGACCCTCTCCAGTCATGATCCTACGGGCCGCCAGACTTCGGCTAGTTGGGTCCTTGGTCCACACAGGTCCCTCGGTCGTTTTCGGGCTTGTCGCGGCCGAGTGGCACGCCGCCGCCAATACGAACACCCAACATCGGACTATCCTGGGACTTTGGTATGATGATCTCGGATGGCTACAACAGGCGCTCCCCACCCTGGGTGAGTTGCCCCCCCAGCCGACGACTTTGCCGCATGGGTGTCTCGTATTCGTTGCAGTCAGTCAGCATGGAAGCGCATTATTCAGACTGGGTTACATGCACACGCACAGTATGCAGCACGTGTGACGTTGGCGCATCATGTCGAACGCCAGTTCTTCGCCGTTGTGAAGCCAGCCGGAGTGCCCGACCGTATCTACACTAACGAGCGCGGGCTCATCGTGGATCCCCCACCCCCTGCCGCACATCCCACGCATACATGTCCGTGGTGCAGCACACAGTACTCACGCCATCGAGCCCTTCGGACACATATTGCTCGCGCGCACCGCCAGCTGTCAACGCTCGCAAAGGGATGCGCATGCCCCAGCGGCAAATGCACTACGTGCCTCACTACGTTCTACGCTCGGGCGCACCTAGTGGACCATTTAGCATTGGGATCACCACGGTGTTTACTTGTGTGTTTGCTACAGACCAACAACCCAGCCCATCACCTGCAGCCACAACCCATCCCCAAGCCACCGGGCATTACCGCCCAAGTACGTATACCCCGACGGCACGTTGTCGTGCCCACTACCAAAGCGTCCGGCCCACTAACCGAGGAGACCACCAACCACCTCCACCTTACACAGCAGGACGCACGCATGGCCATACTGGAGGCTGACCCCTATCTTACTGACGACGCCCGAGCAGCCTTCCTACCACCACCAGCACCTCTGCCAGGACTAGATGACGTGGATGTCGAGCCCTACCCGCCTGTCCAGACAGAACGCTACCCAACCCGCATGTTCCTACCCGACCAGTATACAGGCCTGGCGGCGCAGGCATTACCTGTTGCCATCAAGCGGGCCGAGTATTATGTCCTCAACTTGTTTTGTGGGCGTCGGCGTCCAGAGGATATTCAGGCATGCTTAGAGTGGACGCACTACGACGTTGATTTTACGGTCACGGTCCTGTCCATAGACATCGCTATCGATCCCGTCCTTGGGAATATGATGCGGTCCCAGACGTTGGAGGTTTGGAAGGAACACATACGTGCGCGCAGGGTGGTCCGTTCTGGAGGTGGCCCTCCCTGCGAGACCTGGTCCGCCATCCGATGGGCTCGGGACATGGGGCCGCCACCACTGCGGTCCCACGATGACTTCTGGGGTATGCTTGCCATTACACCGCGTCAGATGGAGCAGGTACGTGTTGGCAACGAGCTCCTAGGAGCCATGATCGAACTTTTCGCCGTTCACCTAGCCGTCGGCACTTGTTGTTGGATGGAGCACCCAGTACCAGCGTCGTGGCGACAAGAGGCTGTGAGTTCATTATTGTGCCCACCTTTGCGTGCGATCATGTCGTCCCCTGCGGCCTCTACAACCAATTTCGATCAGTGCGAACACGGTCAGTGTGCTCGCGCGCCTACACGAATTCTGGCCTTGGGGATGTGTACACTGCATGATCGCCTTTTGGAAACGCCTGGCCGCGGACGTTGCTCACGCGGTCGGAACGCCCACGAAGTGCTCTTGGGTTTCGACGGTCAAAAGGACGAATGGCGGACTGCCAAGAAGAAAACATACCCCCCCGCGCTTCGTCAGGTCTTGGCCCACGGTATCGTGGATGCGGTCATCATATGCGCGTGACGAGCGACCCTCAGGCATGGCCCGAGGACCTGGAGGAGGAGGAAGAGGCACTCCGTGGGGCACTAAAGGCTTTTTATGTCGCTTGGGACCCGTATCTAGGCACGAACGAGGAGTGGGCCTCCGATTTCGTAGGAGCTACGAGGCGACGCCTGCGCGCCGATCCTGAAAGCGCTAGGTTCTTGCCCCCCGAGCTCCCAGGTGAAAGGCCAGTTGCCGATTTGCCCGAACCGTCCCTTGTGCACGACCCCAGTGCCATTCCTCGGCAGGCAGGGCCTGCCGAGGCAGACGAAGAGCAGGAATGCGCAGACGCCCTCGCCTTTCTAGAAGGCACCGCGTCTCCGTCACAAGTCGCCCCTGCCTCTGCTCCCCCACCTGTGCCTACTCCAGTCCAGCTCGCGGATGCACAGCGTGACGTGATTCAACGCAAACGCGCTGAGGCCAGAGATAGACGTAAGGCGCGCCTTGCCGCACGCATAGCTCCATGGACGTTGCAGCCGCATTTCGGCAGCGGCATCTTGGGCTAGCAGAAGGTTGGGTGGAGGATTGGGTGGAGGGTCAGGAGGGATCACGAGCGAGGGGGCGACCCCCCTTTTTTCGCTCTCTTGCTCTCTCACCGCCAGCCGCCCCTTCCCTTGCCGCCCCGCGCTTCTTCAGCCATGAAGGCTATCTATGTGGTATTGACCCCTCTCTACTAGATCTGCCAAGTACGTCAGGTGCGGCTGAATTTCAAGCTGCCCTATGGCTAGTGCTACGGATGTTGCAGGACCTAGCAGATTCAGGTCCAGGCCCTTGGGTTTTCGGCCGAAGGAGGAACGCACTACTCAGAGATAGACGTAAGGCGTGCCTTGCCGCACGCACAGCTCCTCGGACGACGCAGCCGAATTTCGGCAGCGGCATCTTTGGCTAGTAGAAGGTTGGGTGGAGGTTCAGGATCAGGTTGGGTGGAGGATATGGAGGGATCACGAGCGAGAAAGCGACCTGCCCTTTTCGCTCTCTTGCTCTCTCGCCGCCAGCCGCCTCTCCCCTCGCCGCCCCGTGCATCATTTCTACCCTCCCCGCCTGCCTCTCTCGCGCTGATTGATCAGTCAGATTCGCTCCGGCGTGCCTGGGTGTGGGTCAGGTCCAGGTGGCCCTGGCAAGCAAGCGGCCAGGGCCTGTGGGGCATGGGCCCCCGCGCACTTGTGTGCGGGGCGACTGCAGTCCTCCCCCTGTCGACCGAGTGCGCCCCCCCCCCCCCCCTGCTGGTGCGGCCTCTCCAAGGCTGGCCTGTGGGGGGCAGCGCCGTATCGCCCCCCCCCGCCCGCGAGGTACAGTGGCTGGCTCGCCAGCCTGCCGGCGAGCCTGCCCTCTCTCTCTTGTTTGCACGCTGCCTGCCTCTCTTGGAGAGTCGGTTTGCAAGGAGGATTTCAGATGGGTGCTGGGCGGGATTGTTCACTTCAGCGTGCGCGCTCTCTCGCGCCCACGACAGCGCCATTTTGGCAGCTCTTTGCATTGTGTACTCGTGGATCGGACGAGAGTGACAGTCATTTGTGATTGGTAAGGGGTCCTCTCGCGGGCAGGGATCCAGCGACGCAGAGCCTGCAGGACCGCCTTCCGTTGTGCAGCCTGCCGCCCCGCTCGACCTAGCGCAGACCACGATTTTCAGTCGCTGCCGAGCGGGCCTGTGCGCTCACCGCCCTGCCGCGCGGGTTGAGCCCCGCGGCTGTCAACTGACGATTCGTTTCCGCGTGTCTCAGACCGCGGCGCGTCTCGTCTGATATGGGTTGGATTGGTAGGTGGGCGAGTATGGGGTGTGGGTATGGTGTACTGTACTGTATACTGCAATCCTTACGTGCCCGTGCGATCCCGCTATTACAGTTGCATCGCTAGCCGCAGCGCCACCGTAACTCGACAGGCTAGTTGCCTCAACGAGCAGGCAATCCAAAATACTCCTCCCCCTCCTTGCCTTTGCTCTCGGCAAACCTCTCACACGTTTCGTAGCCCCATAGGGAGCTCCACCGAAGGTCCCAGTGGCACAGCCCGCATGCGTCCGCCACACCCAGCACAGCGTTTCGTGGCCTCATAGGGAGCTCCACCGAAGGCCCCAGTGGGCGCATGCGTCCGGCGCATGGCGTCCGAAGGCCACACCCACCCACACAGCGTTTCGTGGCACCATTGGGAGCTCCACCGAAGGCCCCAGTGGGGTGGGGGGCGCATGCGTCCGCCACACCCAGCACGGCGTTTCGTGGCCCCATAGGGAGCTCCACCGAAGGCCCCAGTGGAGGGGGGCGCATGCGTCCGCCACACCCAGCATAGCGTTTCGTGGCCCCATAGGGAGCTCCACCGAAGGCCCCAGTGGGGGGGGCGCATGCGCCCGCCACACCCAGCACAGCGTTTCGTGGCCCCATAGGGAGCTCCACCGAAGGCCCCAATGGGGGGGGCGCATGCGTCCGCCACACCCAGCACAGCGTTTCGTGGCCCCATAGATAGCTCCATCGAGGGCCCCAGTGGTGGGGGGGGGGCGCATGCGTCCGCCACACCCAGCACGGCGTTTCGTGGTGGCCCCATAGGGAGCTCCACCGAATGCGTTGCTCACAAAGACGGTACTCACAACTGCATATGGTTGGGTCCTTCGCCAGGCTAATTCATTTTTCCTCCAGAATCCGCCTGTAGCAGGACATGACCGACCCAACCCTGCTGCCAAAGGGCTCATGCCACCCCGGAAGGTCCCGGCAGAGGCGCCCCGCACCGCCTCCATCATTGCCTCGAAGCTCCAGCGGCTGCTGCGTCTCAGGGCCTCCCGCGCGCTGCAGGCCTCTGCGGTGAGGTCCAGACAGAGAGGAAGAAGAAGAGGCCGTCAGCGGCGACGACGACGACGCCGACGACGCCGACGCCGACTCCAGCGCCGACGCCGACGCCAACCGACGCCGACGCCGACTCCAACGCCGACGCCGACGCCGACGCCGCCTCCGCCGCCGCCGCTGCCGATGACGGACATCGACGACCACGACGACAACGACACGACGCGACGAGGTCGGGACGCCCGCAGCCACGCGGTCGACGACGACGACGACGACGGCGGCAGCCGCTCGCATGGAGGGGGGGAGTTCGAGGATCGCTGTTTTTGAACGGCCTTGGATCTTTCCAGGATGTCGGAAGGAGGGAGAAGAGCAAGGGGAAGAGGAGGTGGAGGAGGATGAGGAGGAGGATGATGAGGAGGATGAGGATGAGGAGGAGAATTCGGCTGCGCACCGAGTGCCAAAAGACAAACCTTTTCAGAAACCGGCGGGGTTTCTCAGAGGCCCTCCGGCCTTCTTTCAGAAGCCGTCAGTGGCTTCGGAGAGAGATCAGAGCTTCCCAGAAGGCCAGATGCCATCTGGCGCACTGCCGAGGGAGGTTGCCTCACAGATAACTCCGCGTCGGCGCACCACCAATCGTTTTGGCAGGGCTGGCCAGGCGTTTCGATCCAGATCCCCCTACAATTTACGATCCTGCACCTTGGCGTGGCCCAACAGTGGCTTGGATGGAATGTGGAGATCGTTCTCAAGGTGTGGATATCCCGTCAGCGCCCTGCACATGCATGTTCAACGTCTGCAGCGACTTCTACTCGTGGTGTTGCCAGCCCGTCAGCTTCTGTCGGCTTCGCTGGCGAGCTAGCACGTTTCCGAAGATCTTCACTACCTAATGCGATCTGATTGCAAACATTTGAAAGAGCGCGATCTACCGCCGCTTGACTGGAGACTGGGATTAATTCCCCCCCCCTCCGGGAAGCCGGGGGAGGTGCAACATCCCCCCCGTCCCCCAGGAACCCCAAAAACTGAGAGGGGGGGGGGTTGGTTCGAACTGGTTCTCATCGAGTCCTGCCACGACGGCTGGGCCCAGGAGGGCTCGATCAAGCTCTTGTGGAATCCTACAAAAGGCTATATCCAACTGGAACAGAATCAGATTCGGGCTGGGTCCGGCACTGATGGGAACATACAAGGGCCCGATCCAGCTTCAATCGAATCCTGCTAGTAGGGCTGGATCCAGATCGGACACGTCCTACTAGGGCTCGGTCCTAGTCTGGGTTGGATCCACTTCTAACAATATCCTGGTAGCGCTTGCTCCCATTATAATCGGATCGAAATATGCTGTGGATGCAATTCTAGTCGCATCCTAATGTGGTTAAAGCCAGCCCTCGTGCAACCCAACTAAGGCATGCGGAGGAAGAGGGGGGGTCCTTGCCCCCCCCGTTGTTCCCCCCCCCCCCAGGCCCGGTTCGAACTGGGGGGTCGGGTTTGCCAGTAGCGGCAGCCATCGTCTTTTTGTTCAAACCTTTGGGTTTTGAGCGGCTTGCATTTCTGCGTCCCGTCGCTTCCTCAACTCTTCAGCTCCCGCTGAAAGCGACCAACCATCCTCGGAGCCGCTATCGGCAAATTCGGGCGCTGAATGTCGCCCGCCGCTAAGGCTTCATTGCTACGTCAAAGCAGTAAGGTCGCAACAGCTCTTCGACGCACTCCATGTCCAGGCGCGCATTAGGACTCATCTCAAGGCCCTCTTCTACATCGCCCACCTCCCTTGCCAGGGGCATGTCCAACATGATGGCGCTAAATTCTCAGTCGCCCGGCCCATGCCGTTCGTGAGCTTCATGGCTGCAGTGAGGGAGCTGGCCACATCGTCTCGCCAATCGTTCGCGCACTTTCTCGTCGACGCGCCGTCAGCTCAGCGTGCCAGCCTTCCCCGCGGAACCCTGCCCTCGCGGATCTCCGGATCTTCGCTCCGGCAGCCTGGTTGGGTCCAGGGCGCTTGCGTCGTCCTTCCATCGGGAGAGGCGCTCGGCCGAACTCAGCCCGCCGTTTGCACCGCTCGCTCCACTCTGTGACCTCTTGCTGCGGAATGTTACCCTTTATACAGTTATGGTATGTATGTATAGTATCGTTGTTGCTTTCCACCCCCCCCTCTCTCTATCTCGCCATCTCTATGTTTGCTTCTCTTTCTTCTCCCAGTCAACCCATCAATTCAATGAGGGGAGAGAGGAAGGGGGGAGGGGCGAGCTATGAGCCGCCGCCGTGGCCCGCCCCGGCCGCGACCTGGCCGCCCGTCTCTCTCTCTCCCTCTCGATCTCTTTGTCTCCCTTTGTCTCTCCCTTTGTCTTTGTCTCTCTCGATGTCTCCCTGGCCGCCCGTCTCGCTCTCTCTCTCTCTCTCTCTCTCTCTTTTTGTGTATGTGTATATATATATATATATGTTTTTGTTACTCTCTCTCACTCTCTCTCTCGACCTCTTTGTCCCCCTCTCTCCGGAACGAGCGCCGGCCCTGGCGATCGTCGGGCAGCGAGCAAATGGTGGCTGCAACGCGCAGCGGAACGCCGGCTGCACGAGAGTCAGCTCGCCCGCCTGTGGGCGGCGCGGAAGGCGGGTCACGCCTCCCTCTCACTGTGCGCAACACATTGCAACACAATGGGGTGACCCCTTCTCTCGAGCAAAACAGCATCTCGGAATCTCAGGTAGGCGCCCTCCGGCCCCGCAAGCTTTCAGACGGCGCCCGGCCCCCAAGACTGTCCAGAATGACGACTCCCCGCAAAAGTACAAGAGAGGCGTCTTCGATGTCGCGATCTCCCGCGACAAAAGCACTCTTCGATGCCGCGCCCCCGACGCTCCCCCCGACGCTCCCCCCGACGCTCCTGGGCGTTCCCCGCCCCCGACGCTCCTGGGCGTTCCCCGACGCTCGTGGGCGTTCCCCGACGCTCGTGGGCGTTCCCCGACGCTCCTGGGCGTTCCCCGTGACACAAACGCTCTTCGATGCCGCGCCCCCGACGCTCCAGGACTGCCCCGACGCTCCTGGGCGTTCCCGGGCGCTCCAGGACTGCCCGTGCGCCCCCAAGCGGCCCCAGGCGCTCCGCAGGCGGTCCTGAGCGGTCCAGGGCGCCCCCGCGCGCTCCCAGGACGCCCGCAGGCGCTCCCAAGCGCGCCAGCCCAGGCGCTTCCCAAATGCTCCCGTGCGCTGTTCTCAAGTGGCCATCGCTCGGACGTCCACTCCCTGTGCTTTTTCTTCGGTTTCGCGCGTGGCGATTTCGCCACATGATCAGGGATGCTCCTCGATGGTCCTCGCCGAGGAAAAAATGCACACGTCCGAGCGATGCCAAGCCAAGCGCTCCCAGGCATTCCGAGACGCTCCGGGAACGCCCAGGCGCTCCTTGGCGGCCTGGGAGCCCCCCAGGCGGTATCGCGCGCTCCCGGGAGTGCCCGGAGGCTCCCAGGCGCTCTCGGACGCTGCAGTTGGGGCCGGGCGCTCCCAAGAGGCCCCGTGCGCTCCCCGGGCGGCCTCGCGCGCTCCCAGACGCTCCGATAGGGCCCCCAGGGGCGTTCCAGGAGGCTCCAGGAAGCCCTAAAGAGGGGGGGCCCCGGGAGCCCCCGGGGGGCCACAAAATGCTTGCAGGAAGCCCCCAATTGACGAGGCCGGACGGACCCCGAGAAAACCTTCCAATGTCTTTCCGTGCAGACCCCCCGCCCACCACCCTCGCGGTGGTCGGGTAGCGATGCGCCCGCAGAGACATCCGCGCGGCTACTGGAAGCCCCAGGTTCCAGAAGGCATCGAGAGGCCCCAGGAAGCGCTGGGAAACACCCCGGGAGCATATGTAAGCCCCAGGAGGCCCAGGAAGCCCATGGAGGCCACAGGTAGCCACAGGAAAATTCAGGAAGCCCCAGGAGACTCCGGGAAGTTCGGGGACACTTCAGAAAGGAGAGTCCATCAGGATGGAGGCACACGAGCGCCCAGGACGCCGCAGAACCTCTCAGGAGACCCCGGTTGCCGCGGCCCGTCGGGCCCCGAGGAAACCATTTTTTCATGCAGAACACCCTCGCGCGGCGGTCGCGTGGCGATTCGCCCGCGTATGCGGCGGGCATGCGGCGCCTCCGCAGAAACATCCGCGCGCGCGTCCAATCGCGCGGACACTAGAGGGCTGCAGATCCACCCCGGTGATAAGCACCCCGACAGCGCAATCGTTTAGTAAACGCACCCGACGAAGGAATCGAACAAAAAAGCGCCGTTTAGCAAACGCACGGGGCCGTTGAGCACTCGCCGATTATGGGGGTCGGGGTGGATTTGTCCTCGTTGAGAAACATCCTCCCGATATCTCCGCCCATGCGGCGCGCGGAGCCCTCCTGCGCGCGCTCGGGCGCCACCACATCGCGCAAAGAGAGAGGCGGCGTGGCGCCGCGCGCGGGCCCCCGCGCGCGAGCGAACGCGCGAGTCCGAGGCCGCGCCGACGCGGCGCGCGAGGCCTCCCCTGCGCGCGCGAGCGCCGCCCCGTCGCGCCGAGGAGGCCGCTCGGCGACGCGCCGACCCGCTGCGCATGGGCGCGACCCGCTGCGCCCTGCGCACTCCTTCGATCGCCGCCCCGCGCCTGCCAGGCGCGGAGCGGGGCCCGGGCGCCCTGCAGTCTCCCAGCGATGCCCACCGCGGAAACGGCGACGCCCGTCGCCTTCCCGCTCTTACGGTCAACCCGTAGAGGAAGGATGCGCGATGAGGATGCAAGGGCCTTGGACGCCCATTTCGAAGCGTTTCGAGCGGGGCGCGGCCAACGAAAGTGTTCAAGGATGGGCCCAGGAGGCAAGGATGCAAGGGTACCCTTGGGAGGGATGCCTATCCTTACTCTGCGGGTCGTCTGCATAAGGGGGCCACTCTCGGGCGCGGCCGAGGCAGGGCGGGGAGGATGGGGCGCGGGCAGCGCGAGCGTGCACCGGCGCATCGCACCCCCCGCCACAGTCATGTCGAGGGGGTGGGATGCGTGTGCGCGCTTCAAAAAGCACACAAGCACGCGGTCTCTCTCTCTCTCTCTCTCCATTTTTTCTGTTTTGATTTTTGTTTTTTTGGTTCTCTCTCTCTCTCCCTCTCTCTCTCTCTCTCTCTCTTACTGTCTTCAGAGGCGCACCGTCCAACTGTGTGACTTCTTCTGCGCCCTCTTCTCCAGAACCCCTCCCCGCCTGCTCCTGCGGGGTCGCCTCCAGCAACTCCCTCCGCTTCTTTCCTTCCTGGCGCCCCTTCTAAATTTTCGGACCTCTTAACCGCTCGTGAGACGGAACGTCGCGGGTGGGCTGGCTCAGGGCCGAAACATCGAGCTTGAATCGGCGATGCATCGCTGATAGATTAGCGATAGGCCCCTGATAGCGAATCCACACGTTTTGGGGCTCGGATGTGGGACTGGATTTGGACCAGATTCGCCCCTACAAGAGAAAAGAAACAACCGAGCAGGGGGAGGAGAAAGAGAAATGGCCGAAGTCGGTCCAAATGCGGTCCGAATGCAGGAAAAGCTGATTTCAATGCCGCCGCCCAAGATTCCCATGAACGGACATCGAACGTAGCTGAGTTCTTGGCGCTCAAAGGGAGGTTAGCTTGCCATCGCTTGGACGTCAATTCCCCGTGCAGTTGACGGCTTCGTGCGCCCATTTTGTTCGCAGGATGATCAAGTATGTTCCTCGATGGTCCTCGCCGAGAACACACACGCACACGCACACGCACACGCACACGCACACGCACACGCACACGCACACGCACACGCACACGCACACGCACACGCACACACACACACACACGCGCGATGCCACGTCCTGGCGCCCGGAGGGTCGCCCAGGGGGAGGGGTAGCGAATCAGCTCACGTAGCCGATTTCCCGGCGCCCCCCGGCGGCCAGGGGCGAGGCGCCAGTGCAGGGAGGCAAGCGCCCTGCTGCGGAGCCGAAGTCGGCTGCCTGCAGCAATCGTCGCCCCCCCCTCCCCTCCCGTAACATGCGACGAAGCCAGGACCACTGCTTGCTGCAGCAATCGGTGCCTCCCCTCTGAGATTCTCGAGTGGTCCTCGCCCGCAACATGAGACGAAGCCAGGACGGGGATCAAATCGGGTGAGGATCCCTCGAGAATCTCGGAGGTCCCGCGGCTCTGCAGGATGTCTCGGGCGCCGCGGCCTTCTCGGAGCGTCACGCTCCGGAGCGGGCTTCTCCTGGTCCCGGCCCCGTCCGATAACAGCCCCCTGTCGTGTGACCCCACTTCCCCTCCTCATCCGCCCGGAGGGGCAATGAGAAAGGGGGGAGGGGGCGGCTCAGGGGGATAACCATCGAGCTGGAATCGGCGATGCATCGCCGATCGGTGACTGATGTGCCCCGGACAGTGGTCGCAGAACCGCGCGCTCCTGGGCGCGGTGGGCCCCGAGAGGCGACCAGTGGGCGCTTTTGGGGGTCGATGTATCCTCCCCTGAGCCTATCCGCCCCTGTGGCTGGGCTTCGGGTCATGCCTCGGGCCTCCAGCAGCCGCTCGGGATGATCCAGGCAACCCTTGAACGCCCCCGGCGAGGCGAATCTGCCAGAAGGCATCCCGTGGCTGGAAGGAAACCGAGAGCCGATCCAACCGTCCGAACACCTCGAACCTCGCCCGCTTGAGCCCATCACTCCCCAAACAGGCGATGTCGTGTACGTTTTCGAGGCGGGCCCCCCAGCAGTCCCGACCCTTTCCCCAGTATCGGGAGCGGCCAAGAGGGGGGTGTCCAA